TTCCCCATTGACATAATGGTGATGCTAGCACTTATGCACCTTTCTAAAGTGCTTTGATATCTATGGACGAAAAGGACTGGAGAAAATCTGTCGTTCCACTGACTTCAGTGACAATGCCTGTTTACACCAGCTCAGCATCTGGCCTCATACTATTATTATAGAGCAAGTTTCACTGCACATCCCTTGAGTGCATCTATCTGAATGTCCTCACACACTTCAGGGTAACCCGTTTGATCAGATGCAGCTGCATTTGCTTTAGAGGGCCACACCCCATTACACAGTTAAAAATATAGAGGTACATTGCATCCTGCTTCTAAGTTATGATTTTCTAACACTTCCAGTTTTATTACCTCGAAGCCAAACATCTAGCTACATCACCTCCTCCTCCTCCCCAAACAAGCCATTTTTGAGTAACCCCATTTGTAAAAAAAAGATGAGAATTTCTTAATGTGTGGAAAACATTGTATTCCCTGCACCTCGGTGATTCAAAGTTACCCAAACTGATTTCACCAGACTTTATTGAAAGAAAGCATCTCTAGTGTGACATCAAGCAGTAAAAACATCATTTCAAATCCTCAATTTCCTCCCAGGTTTGTGGCAGAAAACAGTGTTTTATAATGAAAATGCTCCCCCCGTTGTCTCTCCAGGGACTTGTATGGCATCTATCTTCACAGTAGTTGAGAACTTCACAATCATTAAGGGATTTTAGCCTCAGACTGGCCCGAGAACAAGGGAAGTAGTAGTGTCCCTATTGTACAGATGGGGAACTGAGGCCCTGAAAAATTAAGTGACTTGCCCAAACTCCCAGAGCGGGCCTGTGACTGAGCCAGGAATGAGGCTCTTTTGAATCCAAGTGTACTGTCCCGGCCTCTGCACTTTCCCAACTAGAACATTAGTGTGACTAGTATAAGAACTGTCTGTGAGGGGATTGAGGACAGATGTGGTGTTCTGTTAAGACCAGTCCTGCAAACTACTCAGTGTGGACAGACCCCTGCACCTGCTCAGGGCCCCTCTGAAGTTAACGGGGCTCTGCAAAGCACAGCGGTCAATCCGCAGAGTCAATTCCAGGATGGGGGACTTAAAGGCGAACAGGAACAGGGTTTTCTAAAGAAGCCAACTCTCATTTCTGGCACTAATCTTTGTTACCAATACTTGGCACTTGCTAAAGCACTTTTAGAGGTGGGATTTCAAAAGCACTTGGGCTTGGCCTGACTCTGCTCCCTTTGAAGTCAATAGGAAATTTCCCATGGACTTTGCACACTTCATCCTCAAAGTGCCTAACAAATAATTAAACTGGCTACCAGCTCAGTGAGGGCAACAGAAAGAAATGATGGGCTCCGGGCGTGTCCAATGCTAGAAAAACTAGGTTTCAACTTCCACCAGTTCTGCAGCTGCAATGATGTTAGGTCATGCATGAAGACAATTTTCAGGTGTTCTACCACTATGTCATGAAAACGTGCTCTGTTGTAAACCTGCCCTCGCCTCATCAATGCAGCACTGACATCCTTGCTACCTAGTGCAGGTGCAGGGTTGTGAGAATTTCCTTAATGTAGATTGTGAACTGAAAGCACCCTAATGCCAGAGGGCAAGGGCTTCCCGATATCAGTGAATCTCCACTGCTCTGACCAGCTGAGTGTACCCCAACTCACTGTTGTAATAATCTGTAGCTAAAAGGTATCATGCAAGGGATCAGATGCAAACTGGTAACATGCTGCTCATTAATATTATTGTGTGGTGTATGCAGAGGTGATATATGAAAAATTATAAATATATGATGGACATATGTCCTTAACATGTGTTTGGCAAGTAAGGTTGAAGTCATCCTGCCCTAGACAAAGGAATGTGGTCTTGCCTGCTTGAATGTCTCCAGTATAAATTGAGCAAGGAGAGACAATGCAAGTACATTTACATAAAAGGTCAACAAAGCCATCGAACTAGCAAGTGGGGGAGATAGTTAAGAAGTGATCTTGACCAGGGGAGGAGACTGCACAAATGAACATGTCATCAGCTTGCTGGTGGACCTCCCAGAAGGGCTTCTTGCCTTTGAAAACAAAGATAAAACTTGGAGGCCATTTTGGCATTGTGATGTTGTCTAATTAAAATGTAACCATGCAAATTATTATTGCTACCACTGTTATATAATTGCAACAAATCTTATACAAAGTATAATACATGGCTAGAAAGGGTTAAACAGCTTGCAGGCTGAATGACTGAAAGCCAACCTTTAAAGTCATGTTGGAATGGTAATGAGGGCCATTCAATGCTAGATAGGCTAGAACTTTGAAATGCAAACCTATGTTGGTAGAAGTTAGAAGTAATACTAATTGTCTGTGTATATTCATAAATGTTAGCCATGTAAACAGACAGTTCCTGTCTGTCACTATAACTATTAATTCAAGGATCAAAAGGAAATATTAACATTTAGACGAATACTGGGTGAAATAATGTAATTGTCTGTATGTCTCATTGAAGTTTGTGATAGATTGCCTAATGGATAAATTGCCCTATGTTAATTTGTATAACTAATTACTGGTGGTGCTTAGGAAATAGAAGGCTACATCAAAAGCCTATTGTTTACCCAGGACTGTATGGTCAAGTGGCTGCTAGAAAACTGTATAAAAGATCCTTGGGTCCTGATCCAGTCATCTCAGATCTGCTTAAGCTTCATCAGGGGAAGTTTGAGTCGCAAGATTGAGATCCCAGTTAAGCTGGAACACCCTGAATATGATATTGGACATTGGACTATAACCTATGGACTAAATTCTAAATGAACTCTTTGCAACTAACAAGCTTACCATCTCTGCTATGAATCTGAACCTCAAGAACTGAACTCATGTCTGTATGCATATTGATCATTTAACCATACTCTCTCTCTTTTCTTTTTTTAAATAAAATTTAGTTTAGTTAATAAGAATTGGCTGTATCAGGTATTTGGGTAAAATCTGGAATATTCATTAATGAGGGAGGTAATGTATCCGATCCTTTGGGATTGGAAGAACCTTTTCTTTTATAGGGTGAAAAAGATTTTCAGTAATCTTCATCATTCTTGACTTGGGTATCTGGGTGGAGACCTGACGCTGGGTTACTTTAAGGGAACTGTGTTGTTGGCTTGTGGGCAACCAATGAGGTAATAAAGAAGCTGTTTTATGCTGGTTTGGTAAATCTAAGTATTGGAATATCCACCAGCTTTATGGGGATTGTCTGCCCCATTCTTTGCAGTTCACCGTAATTGAGTGACCTCGGCTGGCTCCCTGGAATCCCAGTCACAGGCATCCTTCTCCCTAGGAGTCAAATAAACCAAGTGCTTTGAGCTTCATTTATTGGGTCCTTCCTGGCTAAAGAATGGTCCAGCCATGCTGCAAGAATGACTGTGGTGGCAAAAACTTCTTTGGACTCTAAGTTGTGCTTTAGTCTTAGAAGCATATTTTTACTTTTTTTCGCTTGTAACCATTTCGGTCCTTATTCCTCATGTGTGGTTCAAAACCTATGTCCTTTTGGTAATAAACTGGTTTTCCTTTTACCATAAACCAACGTGGTGCTCTGATGGAAGTGTCAACCCCTGTTAGTCAGCTGCTGTGCAGTCCCTGTAAAGGAGCAGCAAACGTGAGATGGTTTTGTGGGTGCCACAGTCTGAGGGGCTGAGCACTGCAAAGCAAGATGGTTTGGGGGAGCACTTGGGCCTGGGAGGGTGTTAGTATCACCCTGCATGGCGTAACCAGGCCACAGTGATGTGCGCACATTGCTGGCACCAGGGCTCTGAGCCAAAGCTGCACCGCACAGAGACACCCAGAGTTACAGGGCAGGAAGTGACAAAAACCCTGACTGGGCTGGGTTGAATTCCAGAGCGTCACACACATCCCCTGGCCCCAAATCCCTTTTTCTCTATTTGTGGATGAGTTCTCTTTCCATTTACCAGGTTGGCATTTGCTATACATGTGGGCATACTGCAGACTCACCCCCTGCTCTGATCAATGCCAAACCTCCCCCTATCCCAAAGGTTTGTTTTATTATTATCACATTGACATAACAGAGATTTTATTAAGGAGTAATTAGTTGATCAACACAGCAGACACAGAACAGTGTCAACCCCAAATAGTCAAAAGTCCTGAGTCATCCCCCCACAACTCAGAAAAATGGTTTAAAATCATGACTTAACCCCTCCCAATTTGCCTTCTGGTTTTTTAGCCTTCAGAGTTCACTTGCGTCATGTTTTAAATTTTTCTCTGTAACCAGAAGGGCCAGATGCACACTTTTTAAAACATGAAAGCTGAGGTTCTCATGCTATCTCGTCTCTTGGCTCCAGCAGCTGGGACTTAAACAACAAAACAAAAGACCGCAAGACATGGGGTTAAAATCCTGATCGCTGGCAACTCTGAAAAAGAGAAGCAGAATTAAAAACAGGATGATGCCATGTTCCCATTACTAATATCCATGGGGTGTGTATGCAGCCCAACCCCTCTCTGTAGGGGGCTGTAGGGTATAAAGCCACATCCGCGCACAGACGTGCCCCAGTTTAGCTAAAGGTGTGATTTCAAACCAGTTCTGTTTTACACATACACACCCACACCCTGTGTCCACACTTCTTATCGGTGTCTTTCATCAGCTTAGCTTGCAAGGTGCACGTTAAACTGATATGATTGTGCGTGTGTCCCCTCATCCCGCCAACTGCAGCCGTTTCACGAAAAGGTGTGATTTCACACCAGTTCCGTTTACGCACTCCCACACGGGCGTGGATGGGCACGAGGGTCCTTCATCAGCTTCGCATGCAAGGTGCGCGTTCACCCCCCTGGGCGTGGTGTCCACCACCACACAGCCTTGCACCCGGTGCACGGCGCAGCACCAGCCGGAGCGCCCCCGGCGGCCGGCCGCGCCGCGCTCGGGGCGCGAGGCAGGCGGAGAGTTTCCATCAGGCCCCGGGGAGCGGGACTCCCAGCCCGCGCCGGAGCCAATGGGAAGCGGGCGCGCGCTCCGCGCCCCGGGCCGCCGGCAGGGGGCGGGCTCGGCTGGTTCAGTCCCTGCCCTGGCCGGGTTTAGTTGCGCTCCGCCGCGCACGGTGCCGGGCTGCTGCCGCTGCTCCTTTCCCCGCGCTGCTGGAGCGCTGCCTGGGGGAGGCGGCTGCTCCCCCTGCCCCCGGGGCTCGGATGGACGCAGTGGTCCTGGGCAGCGGCCCCGGGCTGCTGCTGGCGCTGGGTAAGGAGGGGACGGGCTGGGGGGGGGAAGGGAGCAAAAGGGCAGCCCCCACCTGCGGCTGCAATGGGGGGCGCTGCCGGGAGTGGGGAGTCGCTGCCGCCGTTGCGGGGGGATCCCGTGGCGAGGGAGAGCCCCGCCGCCCTCCCGGCCAGCTGTTTGCGTCCTGCAGGGCCAAAGCTCCCAAGTCAAACGTGGCAGGTTGATTTGGCCCTTCCTGGGGTGCCCAGTGGCTTGTCAGCCTGGCTGTTCGCCTGGTGACCCCGCCAGCCCTCACCCTGTTTCCAGGGGGTTGTGAGTCTCTTGGCTTCAGAAATCTGCCCTGAGCAAGAGGGGGGCTATTTTTAGCTGTAGAACAAACATTTTATTTTAAGGCACTTGAGAATTCAGGTTCTTCCTGCGTTTAAAATTATAGCAAAAGAAAAACAACGCTGCATGGTGTAACTAGGGGCTTTGTCTCCTGCCCCCCACCCCCTCCTGTAACTCAAAACGGGTTATTTCTTACATACTGACACTGTGTGGTCCTGGAGCCATAGATCAGGGTTAGAGCATGGAGTGTATCTGGCTACAAAACTCCTGATGTGTCTTGTTTAAAAGCTGCAGTCTTCTGCATAGGCCCTTTGAGATATTTTCAGTTAAAACCCTCATCAGGTTATGGGGGTGATGGGGGTGAGGGTGGCTGCTGGAAAGGTGTGGTCAGAGCTGTGATATTTGAGCAGGGGGTTGGACAAGATGACCTTCTGAGGTCCCTTCCAACCTTGATATCTATGATTCGATATAATTTTATGAAAATATGCTAATGAGTGTGAATATAATGTAATTGGAATATGCTTCACGCAAATTAGAAGGTCTGTGTTTGTAGCAGGCTAGCATGTCTGGCTCAAGCAGGCAGGGTTCTGGAGTCCCACGCTGGCAGGGAAAACGGGTTAGAAGTAGTCTCAGCACATCAGTTGGCAGTCCCAAGGGGTTTTCTGTGATCCAACCTGTCACAACAGCCATTAGCAGTCCAAGCAGGAGACACCAATAGAGTATTGGGCTCCTTGACCAAAGTAAGTGAAGAATCAGTCACCCTGTAGATTAAGGGTGCATTTATAAATGGCATGTGAAAGGTTAATAAATGATTGATAGCTGTCTTACAAATGGTTGATCAGTTGTTATCGTCAGCACCTGGGTTATAACAATCAAGAACAGCTTTGACTGATGCACTTATAACCATGTAGAACACAGTACTGGTGTTGGTAACATGTATATAGCATCTCTTAATCCTTATTAGCTATTTATATTGAAGATATACTTTATAAAGTGTGGCCCCAAAATCTTCTATGCTCAAAACATGTCTTGTTTAAAGCTTTCAGCAAACAAAAAACCCCAACCCCCTTTAGATGTTTGATGACTTAACATCTGAGAATAAATAATAAAGGGATTTTTGGCTAGCATAAACAATGTGCAGTTTTTAACAAAATACATGTTTATCAGTTAATGGTTGAATTCCTGCTTATTAGTCTAAAATGCATGCCTGAAATGTCACAGCTGTTCCAGGCTCCTCTGAATGGTCCTTCTTCCATCTTTCAATGGAGTCCTTTAAATGATTGCTTTAAAAAAAGACCAAGAAAAAACTTACTGAAGGGGGAGAGAAAACCCCACCTGAAATAAGATGGGAGAAGCCTGGTAACTTTGAAATTAAACCTGTCAGAGTGGGCTCTGTGTTAATTCGGAACCGCTGACTTCTAATGGGAGCTCCATGCAAGTATTTGAGGGATGGATAGATTTACTGAGTTGTTAGCAAAAGTTATGGTTGCTTGACTCTCCCCCCCCACCCCCGCCCTGATATAATATCAGCCCTAAAGTTGAACTGTAAAGGATTTTTACAAGACTTAGGCTTATCTCCTATTTTAGTCCTTTACCATGTATAAAGAGGGTCCAAAAGTCTTTTTTTAAAAATAATTTTGTTTTTCAGCCTTAGGCTTAGTCTGAACTTAAAAGCACTCTTCCAGTGGTGTACCTACATCGCACCAGGGTTTTCTTTGCTGCTTTAACTATAGTGGTATGTTTAGAGCAGCATCACTGTCCAGTGTCGACAAGGTCACCGACGCGGTGGGCATGTCAAGCCTTGCTCCTCCTGCTCTCCGTGGCAGAGCCAGCGGAGGTCTGGTGATGAGTGCTGCAATCGCTGTCCTTCACAATTGCTCCACTTTGCCTTTGTGCTGTCGTTTCGCTGCTTATCCTGTCTCCCAGGGCCATTGGGACCTGAGGAGGGAGAGGAAATAAATTTCCAGCAACAAGCCCGTCAAGCCGTCTGGTACGTGATAAGGAAGCTAGAAAGGGCTCAAGTTCGTAATATTTCCCCTGTGCATGTTCCCTTCCGTGGGTTGGGTTGCCCTCACTGTCTGCAGAGGGACGGTTTTCAATTTGATGCGTGAGGGGCTTTAGACCTGCAGTTCTGTCCAGCATTAGTGTGAGGTGTGGGGCTTTCAGTGCTCATCTGTCCCATCAGGCTGAAGGTCTGTTCTCCGAGTGCATGTAGTAATACTAGGGGAAGCTCCCCTGCGTCGTCATGGGGCTGTGCTCCACGTGTGGTGTTAGATACGTATTTCTGTGGGCACTTGGGATGGAATTAATCTTCCCTTTCCAATCTTCTGCTGTCTCCCATTTGCAGGGTCCTGCCCCAAGACATCAGACGATCCGGGTTGGTTGTTTTGTGAATGCCTGCCCTGTTTCCCCTCAGTGCGTGTCTGTAACAATCAGTATCAATGGGCAAGGAGCATGCAGGTAGAAAAATAGACCCATCTCACTGGTGTTTTCATGGCAGGGTCTCCATTTTAAAGGCTTTGCTTTACCGAAGGCTGGATTGAAATTTTCTCCCCATCTCAGGGGGGTGGTGGTGAAGTAAGCTTTAAAGGTCCTGGGTTTTTTTTTTTCCTTAAACCCTTTTATGTATACTTCTAAAAAGTTGCCCTATAAAATGTTTTACCAACCTTCGGAAAAGTGCTGGATTCCTGCTGGTGTTATGGACATGTGAACACCGTATAGCACAGTCCACTATCCAGAATTCTGGGCTTTTTACAGGAGTATGAAAACCACCAGCAGAACAGGGACACTGTTCCTAATCCCTTCTGAGTAACGCCATTTAAATAAACAAGTATGGCATGTTATATGTACATCAGCAGGGTGTGATGAATCCACTTAGCCAGAGTGAGTTGGTGGTTTTATCAGGTGAGAGATTCTGCTGATGGCAAAGGTTTCATTTGGGGGTGTGTGTGATGGGGTGGCAATTCGTGGTTGGATTTTCAAAAGGACTTCACGCTTAGCAGCTGCCAAATCCATCCACCTCAATGTAGGTGTCTTAATGTCTTCTGAGCTCTTTCTGGCCGTACGTCTCCAGTCCTTGGGGTTGCCGAAAGAACCTTCCAGATACAAGCGCGATGCAAACTGATGCAGCCTTGTCTGCCTGAGCTGGCAGAGAGACTGCTGCCTTATCTGGAGGGCTGCTAGCATAGAGTGGGGTGTGGAGGCGGCTGGGAAGGGAGCTGTCCCCCATTGTTACAATAGGATGCTGGGGAGTGGGATTCCTACCACTGCTTCAAGGAAGGTGCGCCAAACAACATCAGCAGAGGAATGTCTGTGTAGGGGACCCTACAAGCTGAAACTGCTGTCATCCCAGCACGCACTGATTTATTGGCAAGGGTGGGGCTGCCCAGTATTAAGTGACTTGGGGGGGGGCAGCATTCAGCTGCGGGGAGAGCAAGGTCTTCGGGGCCGAAGCAGTGGTGATGCCCACCCAGCAGGAGACTGAGCAGGATAAGGTGTGAGGTGAGATGAGGGGGACGTGGCCCTTGGGGGATTTGGGATTGTGTGTCTTGGCCTGATGGTTAGGCTTAGTCTGGGGGCTAGTAGACACTGAGTAACTTTTCCAAGCCCTATATACATGTGGTAATTTATTTTCTTTTGACATACTATGCAGCAGCGTTGTCTGCTATTGGATCTGATTTCCATCTGAACACACGTTGCCCTGTCCTGGGCAGGGGGTCAGAAATGATTATTTCCAGGTATTCCTGCAGTGACAGTCTGCCAAGATTGCCACGCAAACTGTGAATTTGGATCTGGGTCCTAAGCATTCTCAGTAGCCTTAAAACCCATAGAAGCTAATGCCTGACGATAAGCGGGGCATTCTTTTTATGTGTTGCAGCTTTTTAGTGAAATCAGTGCAACAAGTATTTTAATATTTTGCTGGCTTTGGGCTGCTTTCATCCCTGCCCTGATACGCTAGATTTGAGCTCACCCATTTTAAATAAGACTTGTAAGTTGAAAGTCCACCGTCTGCACAGAGAGGAGGCACGCATTATTTCATCTGCCTTTGAGTGGAAGGGACTTGGCCTGGCAGATCTGGGTCTTTGGGGAATGCATGGCAGAGGGGAGTACTGCCTTCCCAGCATCAACTTGCTAAACTCCTGAGCCCTTTCATTACTGCTCCATGGGGTTTGGGCTGCATGGGTGAGGAGGGGCTAGCAGGTTTCTGTGCTTTTGTGGAGTCTACTAGGACCTTTAACATGCCAGTTGGGGTATAAGATGTGTTCATATGGGATTCTGCCCATTCAGAGATTCGTTACTTCTCAGTGTCATGTGATTGAATAGAAACTGTGCTACTCTGGGCTGTAGCTATCCTGCAGCGTGGGGATTTTTGGACTGGCAAGCTCTGTGTACTCTTGTGTCAATAAAATTAGTGTGTGTGCAGACAGTGTCATTAAGAAATTATGCATAGTGTACAATTTTGTTTTGTTATTGACTGGCAAGCTAAGGGAGTTCTTATGGGGTTTGGCAGGAACAGGTTTTTTTATTTTTGCTGGAAGGCTCAAAAGAGTTGACGACAAACTTGGTTGCTTTGGAGAGCCCCACACCCTCCAGCTAAAGTTTGTAGGGAGCTACTTGTCCTGGACCCCATTCATAGATGTTAAAGCCAGAAGAGACCACTGTGTTTAATCATCTAGACTGACCTCCTGGATAACCCAGTAATTTGTGTGACAGAGTGAATTATTCTTTTCTTCCAAGTAGGTGAATGCCACTGAGTCCAATAACTTGTGATTGGACGACAGTCCTATGAAAATGGGAGCCATGACCCCCTGTAATCAGCCTTTTAGAGCCCTAGTCCCTTCATGTTTACTCTGAACAGCCCTCCCACTGGCTTCTGAACAGAGGGGAAATGTCTTGCCCAAGGTGTCACAACAGGTCAGTGGGAGAGAGACAGCATCACCTCTCTCTCACCCAAATTGAATGTAATCCAACCAGCTGTCATCCAGGTCCTTATCTCTGCCAACCACTGGGAGAACAAGGAAATTTTATCATCCTAGCCAGGTTACTCATGGGGGTAGGCATGTGCGGGATTGGGCCCTAAGCATGGAACTAAAAATGAAGTTAGTTAAACTGGAAGCTTTAAAACAGAAGTGCCTTGGTATAGGTTGGGTGAGAAATACTTGGCAGGAAAGGCTTTCTGACATGGGACTGGCTCTATATTTAACACTTGCGATAGATCCTTGTCTCATTTGCTAGAATGTGATGGCGCTTGATTGCTGACGTATTAACAGTTCTGGAGAGGAGGGAGTTCTGCCCAGCTACAATTACAGTGGTTTTGCAGTGGCTTTATTTTGCTAATCTAAAGTTCCTGAATTTAAGTCATATTAGACATTTAAGCCAAGATTTTCATAAGCGACTGACAATTTTGGCTGCTTCCAGTTCTAGAGACCCCATCTGAAAGGGGATTTTCAGAAAATGCTAGGTGCCCACTCTTTGAAAATCAGGTCGTTTTAAGGTGTCTGAAAATAGGCACCCAAGAGCTGTACTCAGTTGGCCTTGTAGGGCTGCAAGTGCATCTAAGATAACGATTTAGGCCCTGATCCTGCTGTCGCTTAGACTTACGCTGAACTTCACCCACGAGTAGTCTGACTGATGTCAATGGAGCTGGTCCCATGCTTGCATTCAACAGGTGGGCAAATGTCAGGGGATTGAGGCCTTAGCTTCCATGTGGATAAAGTGTCCAGCTGTGAGATGGAATGATCCCGGGATGAGTCCGTGAGTGAACATTGGATGCCAAGATTCTAAATTCTGTCTCTTTCGTTCTCCCAGTGCCCTTGTCTTAATGTTTATTACTGATGATTGAGTGGGAAAATATCTATATAGCTCTTTTTTTTTTTTTAAGGGGAGCAGTCAGGGGATAGTTCTGCCCCTGTGGTTCGAGCGGCTCCGTTGTCTGTGGGGGGTGGGGGAGCCATGCCAGCAATTTGCATTGCCTCCATGAAGCTTGGCTTTATGTGCCAGTGAGCAGGTGCTGGAGGCAGGTGGGGCTGTGAGGAGCCAGAAGGTATCTACTGCTGTGCTGACCCACCAACCTCTTCCTCCTGCCCTGGCGGAAGGGGTGTGGGGATGCAGAAGCTACTGCAGTCTTCCCACAGGCTGAGAAGCAGCTCTGCCGGTTGAGAGGGGTGATTCTCTCCCCACCCATGTCCCTGCAAAGCAGGCAAGTGCTATCACCTTCCGTGCGGTCTGTGTTGCTCTGGCTGTGGGCGTGGTGGTATGGAGTAGGTGCATGTGCTCCGAGCAGATGCTGCTTTGCAGCCTCCTGCTTCCATGACCCTTCCCACTCGACTGCATTCATTCATGAGAGGCATGCCTGGAGAGGGTGCGGCCTGTTCCCAGAGAGACTGAAATACACACAGAACCGCCCTCCCCACCACCTGCAAAGCAGTAACTCTGCCCTCTGTGCAACCAGCTGGTTGGCAGAATAGCCCACCATCACCTTTATACGCAGTCGAGACTTTGCTCTGTGGACGCAGTGCTGAGGAAGGGGAGGGAGCTGTCTCTTCTCATAACAGGTGTAACTTGCCGCTTCTCACCTGTTTCCCCTCGACTGCCCCTGGACGCTATTATGGCAGGCTTAAAATAAGGAAAAGAATTGTTTCTCTTGCCCTTCCCCTGCAATTATCCTAGATCAGTGACTGAGAACAGCAAGCCAGGCAGAAAACTCAGCAAGGCACGTATGTGAAATATGCAATATGTTAACTATCTGGGTACTGTATTCTGTATTTCCAGGGTCATGCAGTTGATCTGATGGATCTCTTCTGTTTTTAACTGTGGTGACCTAGGTGTGACACCCACGCTAAGTAAAATGGAAAACAGATCTATGATTATCTTGACTGACTTTTGAACAGTGGTATAAAACTATGCATAAGGATAACCTACTATGGGCAAGGAGCTCTGAGGTTGGATTCTTCAAAGGCACCCACTGTTGATCTATGGTAAAATTCCCATTGACATAAATAGGAGCAGAGTTAGAAATACACGTAAGGGTAGGATTTTAAAAGTGACTAGTGACTTTTGGATGTCTCAGTTTTTAGGAATCCAACTTTTGAGATGCTTTGAAATGGCGTCATTGTCAGAGGTTGGTGCTCAACGCTTTCTGAAGATCAGGTTCCTTCAGGTGTCTTGAACTGAGGTACCAAAATCACTGATCGCTTGCAAAATGCCCATATACAATCCTGCCTCCTGGCCTCATGACTTCCCTAAGGATCTGTGGCACTCCACTCCCACATCTGTTCCTCTGTGGAGAGGAGAGAAGGTTGTTTCAGTCTTGTCCTTAATTTTTCAAGATGTTCATATGAAACAGTTCGGTCCATTGACACAGCAGATCGTCAAGCATCTCTAAGGATAAAGCTTGATGCACGACCAAAGGCAATTGCTCTGTTTGAAAAGCCTCAAGAGCAGTTATGTAGCAATCCTAGTTCTGACTTAGCTGTTAATGGGTGATCTTACCCCCTTTTGGGTGGGATCCTTAGTTTGAGAAACGCTGATTTGAGGCACCTGGCATTGGCCACTGTCGGAAGACAGGATATTGGGCTAGATGGACCTTTGGTCTGACCCAGTATGGCTGTTCTTATGTTCTTAAGGGCTTTACGTGTTTATTTTGCCTTTTTAAAATACGTATCCCTGTAGTTTTTGTTGCAACGCTGTGAAATTTCAGATTTACATATCTGAAATTCAAGATTTTTAAATGTGAAATTTACAAAAATGGACTGTGAAGTTAGCAGGGCCATGGTGAGAAGTGGTGGAGCCCTGTACTGCTGTCCTCTCTCTCCTTGACTTTCGGTGCCTGATTCTGCCTCCGATGGAGGTAGGGTGAGAAAGGAGCCTCATGTGGGTTTCCCCACAGCGGCAAAAGGTGGGTCAAGGGAAAGGGGCCTGGGATTGCCTGCTCAGGAGAGGAGGTGAGAAAGAAAAGCCTCTGTTGTCAAGGCTCTGCCTAGAGGTGCGAAGGGCTCTGGTTCCAGTAATGGAGGGCTGCTTCTTCTGAGCCCTCTGGCTGCTTCCCTGCCCCATGAAGCATTGTGAGGAGCAGGGCGAATGAGTAGCTGCTGCTGCCCTCCCTCTGTCAGCTCTGAGCAGGGTAGGAGAGGGTGAGCTGGCTGGGACCCCCATGGCAGGTACTCCAGGGGGCCAGTAGCTGGAAGAGGGATGAAAGGGCGGGACGAGGGACCCGGGGAGATGAGAGTTGGCAGAGACGGCGGCAGCGGTACCTACCGGTGCTGTGCATTTTGCCCTTCGGCTGTTTCCATCCTGTGTGGTGCTGGAAGCAGCACAGGCCTGTACTGGGCACCAGTCGCGTAACTTCCTGCCTTTTCCCCGGGCACCAGTGAGAATGCTGCTGTGGCCCAACGTTCTCACTGGGCCCAGCCCCTTCCCTTAACAGGGCAGTTCAGCCTGCCCCACAGGGAGAGCCTGACCCCCTGCTTTCTGAGCTCAGGCCCCTCTCTCCTATCCTGAGCTTGAAATATTGGCTGCCTGTGTCCTTGCCTCTTGCTGGCCTTTCTGGGAGCCCGCCACCTCTTGCCAACTCCCTGCCAGCTGAGGGGGCAGGCCTGCCAAGGCCGCTCCGACCACAGTTTTCCTGTGTGATAGTGTGGGACCCTGCCCGATCGCGGCTGGGCTGGGTGTGGTAAGGCTTAAAATGTTAATGACGAAGTATTTGCTTGAGTCTCTTGCTTGTGTAGAGGTCTGGCACGCAGGGGAGAGAGGCTGTGTTGTGTGGTTCCTAGATCACCCTGCTTCACTCAGCGCGTGTGTGTTAATTGCTAGTTTGGGCCTAATAGGAATTACATGGCCAAGGAATCCATCAGACTGCATGAGCCTTAAAGAGTAGCTCTCTTCCCTCTAACCTAGTAGTTACTTTCCCTTCATTCATTGGCATTTTGTTGCTCTTATCCCATATTTCAAAGTGATAGAAGTAGGGGACATTCGTCAGGTTAGGTCCCTAATGAAACGTGCCGTGACGTTGCTTGGAGCTCCATTCCGCTCCAGAGGTGACGCACGGGGAGTGGCCAGGAACGTGCACCAGAACTGTAAGTTAGGAGAGGATTGCTCAGGCCTTTCTAATTCCCACCTAGCTGTCGGTGGTGGTGTATACCCCGCGCCTAGCCAGAGCAAGTGGAGCCCTTTGAAGACCCTGTTATAACCTCTTTTTGTTTTAATTGAAGGCCTAGCAGTTTTCAACTGTGTGGTTGCCAGCTGGAACGTGACTGCTGACTACGGAGTGAAGAAGCCCGTATGCAGCTTTCCGGAGGAATGTACAGGTAACTCTGTGTTATAACAAGATACCGATTCAGGTTAAAAACAAACCAATGAGTTGAAATGGTACAGTCAGTATAGGTCTCAGTGGTGCTACAAACAGCCAAGCCGTTTTCAGTGCTCCAGTGTCCATCCTGGGGTAGACAGGCCTGCGAGGTGCATTACTGATTCTGCAACAGTATTTTAATAGCTGTGTCTTTGTGATCTGGAAATGAAAGATAACGTTAACGTGCCCCTAGCTGTCTGCCTTGGGGATGTGGTAGCACCGTGTAGCACTGCGTACAACTCCTGAAATAAAGCTCTTTACGCCGCAAACTGTTCTGGATTCAGTTTTGCAAACCATTTATCCCGTGCCCCACCAAAGAGCTAATTGGCCTGTTCCCGGCGCACACTGACAAGGTTAATGCTGGCCATGGTTCCACTCGGCTTCCTTATGATCATGCTGTTGCTGCATCATAAGAGGGAGAGTTCGAAAACTCTTAGCCTGAGCTGTCTTTGGGCAGTGGTTATGGAATGTGTCGCTGGCGTTTCAGGCCTTCTCAGCTGCATTTAGACTCCACTCACGTGGTTGCAGCTCAGGCTATCCAGGAAGGGAACCCCTCCAGATCTGGTTGCCAGGACTGCAGTGTGCCAGGGATACTTGTGTATGCTTTCTGCATGTCCTTAATCCCAGGTTTTAGCCTTCAGATATGCACACCTGAGCCCCATTGCCTCCAGTGTCATTCATACACCGGACCCAGGATGGTCTTACAGAAGCATCAGAACTGCCATTGCCCAAATGTGGGTCTGTTGCTACCTTGACATGCGCGCGCCCATCTCTTGTGGGCATGTATCGTAGCAATATGGGTATAGCATCATGCTCTGAAAAGAGCAGGAGACTTGAGGGAAAATCCCTTCAGGAATTGTCACTGCTCCCCAACCAATAGTCTAATTCCCTTAGACTTATATATGTGTATATATACTATGTATGTTTATAAAAAAAACCAAAACTTTAAACTGGGCAAAATCAGATATAGGAATTAATTGAATTTTGGTGGCTTCCTGCCACCCGGTAAAATAGCAGAAGGCTACTGTCTGCTGGGATCAGGTCAGATGGGTACTTCTTGGTATAATGTACCAATTCTTTTCTTTAGGCTCAGTTTTGTGCCCTTGCTCCTCTCCTGTTTGGAACAAAGCACCCAAATGAAATTAACCGAGATCTCCCCAGTGCAGCACAGTGGTGCTGCTTGAAGATCTTGTTAACTTTGCTTTACCTGGTATGGAAGCGAAGGGTATCACTGGCTATCATCCTGGCTAATGGTAGGAAGTGGGACACTTACAGGCCAAACTTGTATGGCAGCAAGATGACAAAGTATCAGCCACTTGCACAAAAAGGATCAATGCAGCAAAAATTCAGTATCTACTGAAAAGAGACTTTTAAATAATAAAACGCTTTAAATCCTATTTGCATTTTAAAAAATAACACTATAAAGGTGGGATTTTCTAAAGCATTCAGCATGGGCCTTACTTTGCTGTCATCAAAGGCAGTGGGAGTCTTATCTTTATTTCAGTGAGAGCCGAGTTAGGCCAAGGAGATGTGAAAATCCCTCCTACAGTTGTATCGTTACAATTTGAAGAAAGAGAAACTAAAGCAGCATGCACACTTGTGACTTTGTTAATAGGCCACACTTATGTTTGTTGGTAAGAATGTAGGAAGAATTTAGAATGGCCTTCTTTAAAAAAATACTCCAAACCGAGAGCAGCAGTATGTTAGAGAGGTAAGTTAGATTCATTTCAGCCTTATAACCGGAGAATTGTGATGCCAGGAAACTCTGACAGTATGGAATGCATTGATAATGGGAGCCTTAATGAGCTGGGGAAATGCAGTGCATTGACTGTAATGGAATGATTTTAGGAACTGATTTTCAGCCAGTTTGCCATGCCCACACTAGAATGTTTTCTCCTGGCAGCATGGGATTTCCACTTCAGACACCTGTTTTCCCTCCTCCAATCCTGCACTCCTAGCAGGATCTGGCTGCTGCTGTGGTACTGCCCTCTCTTTCTGGGAGACACAGACATGCAGCTGCAGTTCAGGCTGCTGTTTTGTAGGCTGGTATTGCAACTTAAATGAGAGCAGCGTCAATCAGCTGCTTCTTACAAGGTAAACAAACTCATTTCTTTATGATACACCCAGCAGTTTAAAAATAATCCCTTAGGCCATTTCTGATGTAATTGGGATCTGTGATCTAGTGGTGACATATTCGAGTCTGGTAGCCAAATGCAAGCTCTGTGTGTGTGTGAGAGAGAGAGAGAGAATTCTGAATTTCAAGACCCTAAATTCAAAGAAACTGCCTGATGACACTGTCTCACTGTTGAGCATTTTGAAATCTGAGTACTTATTACCACCTCCTCCTGCTTTAGAAGCCAGGTGACAGTGAAACCACTTTCATTGAATTTCAATTATTTTTAATGAAAACTTCACTAATATTTTGTCATGGAACATAATTAGCTAGAAGGTACACATGTGATGTCTGTATCAGTATACTTTGCTAACACAGCTCCATCCTCCCCACTCGACCTTGGGCACAAAGCATATTTTTGTACTCTGAGCGTGCTCACTTAACAAATTCTTATATATTCACTCATGAGAATTATTTTTCCACCCTTGAACAGTTATAGACGCTAACATAAGCCAAAGGCACATCAAATACAATACAAGCGATCCACAAAGAAGAAACGAAGTCTAGGATTGTTGCAGATGCAATGAACAGAGAAGTCATTGGTAAGAAGCTAGAGGTATGCATCAGTCCCTTAAGCCCATCTAAGCACACAGAGGCAATAGTAGGGTGGCACCAGTCAATGCCGATGATGCACTTACAACGGGAATTTGCTAAATACAAGAATTTGAACGAAGCTGGCCTGCCAGGTTCTATGACACAATATCGAGGATAGTAGAGATGCTGGTGGTGACAAAAAAGCATGTACAGGTTGGTCCTACAAAGGCATTTGACACCAACCTTATCTATTCAAGAGCAATAGGCCTACAAGCAAGTTCATGAGAGTCTGACCTCAAGAATATTTTGTCAGTCCTGTACCAATGTCAACGTTCACGGACTCTGGTGACATGAGGATTGCCCGGCTAAATCTAACCTAAAGAAGCAGCTGCTGACAGAGGTGTCAACTCGACATACTTCAGAAGAAGTCACCTTCGCAGCAAATGATGTATGCCTTGTCTTTGACGGGGCAAAGACTTCAGCACAAAGAGTGTCACAGGATCCAGCAGAGCTACAGAAGCAAGCAGAGTGCATCAGTTGAATACAAGTACACAGCTACCTCCAGCGAAAATTGTCTTGACAGTAACTGAAAATAAGAAACGTTTGATGGACATCAATTTTGTGCAGAACTCATTCAAGACAAGAAGTTTCACCAGCAACGCACTGGCTGGTTATTGCAGGCAGACCCAACATCCCCCCAGTTGAAATAAACCAGGCAGGTGTGGTGATCAACAGAGAAGATATATGGCCAGCATGGATGAGGAAGCCAACGACATCCTTGCACAACAAATGGTGGTGGTTGCAAAAGAGCAACCATTGGGAACGTCACTATTATCAGATGATGCTGATGTACTTGCCCTACTCTTGCACCATTAATTTGAAGAGTGTGTAATGTTTTTAGTGATCACGGAACCCCCCTGTCTGAGAAAGCTGTGATGGACAGCTGTGCGACTGCTGGGCAACACTGGAATATTGTACCAGGACTCCTAGCTGCCTGCGCACTCTTAGACTATGATACAGGAACTTCCTATTTTGGTCTTGTCAAAGGCACTCTGCTGAAGATCCTGCAAGTTGCATGTTTCCTTCTCTGCTGGGCAGCAATATTCATGGCTGCATGCTACGGACACTCAAATTGTGCCACCGTGTCTGAAGCATGATAGAAACCATCGGAGGCATAAATTGGCAGTGGTACCATGTAAACACCAAAGCGCTCAGTTCCTCATCACCAGCTGTGAAGCATGTATAGAAGAATGTCAAACAAGCATATCTTCAGACGTGTGTGGGAAAATGTTTTGGCTCCCAGTGCATCAACACTCCATCCACTTCAGCGTGGATGGATATGTGATGACCGTTCCAAATCTGTTTCCAGAAATTGTACCAGACAATGTCTCACTTGCTCCTCCAGATATTCTGAAGTTTATCAAGTGCTCTTGTGGGAGTGTGGTACCATGTAAATCTGTGAAATGTGGATATAACCGTGTCAAATGGCCTCGTACCATATTCTGTGCAGGACATGGAGGTGAAGGGTAGTGGTGTGGGTATGTGTGTTGCAATGACCTGACAAAATCAGCTTTAGAATTTGCAGATGAGAATGTCGATTGACAAATAGTGACCAGTATTAGAATAAATTGCCTAGGGAGGTTGTAGAATCTCCATCATTGGGGATTTTTAAGAGCAGGTTAGACAAACACCTGTCAGGGATGGTCTAGATAATACTTAGTCCTGCCATGAGAGCAGGGGACTGGACTAGATGACCTCTTGAGGTCCCTTCCAGTCCTATGATCCTATATCAGGACACTCAACTGTAGTTTGAGTGAGAGAGAACACTAGTAATCATTTATGATTCCAAATGAAGTATTTGATTAAAATTATTATTAAAATTATAACTGTGTGTGTGTAATACTTGTTTGACTATTTTTCACATTAAAAAGAGTGGGCAGTGTTTCAAATGAAGATTGAGGTCTGTGCTGTTACTCTCAAATCCCCTCCTCATGTACCCCTATTATTCAGATATGTATGGTTATTGATTGATATTGCAAATGTTAAATACAGATGCTCCCCGACTAACTCAGTCATTCCATTCCGTAATGCCTTGCGTAACTCTAATTTTGCGTAAGTCGGAAACGTATACCCGACCATTACACCAGAAAACCCCCCAACCCCTCCTATTTCTAGCTTACAGAACTCTTTCCGTAAGTGCGGATTTGCGTAAGTCCGGTCTTGCGTAACGTGGGGAGCGTTTGTACATGCAT